CTAACAAGTAAGATAAATAAGAGCCTAATTCAAGGAGGGGCAAATTTAACCTTTTAGCTATCAGTGAGACTTGGAATGATTCTCAGTCCAATCCAGGAAGGCCTAGGAAAGTATGTTGTCTTCAAAAGAGACAGAATGGAGGATAAAAGAGCATTGTATATTAAGAAGATACATTGATGTGAGGAACTAGAGTAGTAGCAAAACATGGTCGAGAACATGTGTGTAAAGGTCAGTGGAGGGAGGAACAGATGCAATACTTACGTAGAGAGGTACTCTAGTCAGCCTAGCGAAGAGAAAATAACACACATTTCTATAGTACTCTGCAAAATACCTTCTCTACAACAACCCTGTAATGTGGGTATTTGATACTTACATGGATCTATAATCCTTATTACTATGCTTAATTTAACACTTTCTAATGGTGCAGAAGGGCCTATGTGATTCCTGTCCATATCCTCCCATAAATCACTCACAGGTAAGTACCCTCCAGCCTAGAGTCCTTTCTCAGATCTCTTGGTGTTACATGGATAATCAGGGTAACAATGCTGGCTGCTTATTAGTTATGCTTCAGTCTTGCTTCATGACTGACCCACCTCCTTTTCTGGTCATACAGTGCCATGATGTTTTATGTTATTTCTGATGAACAATTCTTCATTAGTAATTTGTTTCTTTTTGCTCTGTTGTTGACCCACAACCATAATCCTTTAGAATGGATCAAACCTAATGGAATTAAATTTAATAAAGAGAAATGTGGAGTCCTAACTTGGATTAAAAAATTAAAGTACAAAACGGTATTTTACTTGTCCAAGATCTGGGACATCTAGTGGACTGCAAACTGAGTATAATTTATAGGTACAACATGGTGATTAAAACAGCTAACGTGAAAGCAATACATGGAAGTTTAAGAGAGGAAGATGTAGTATTTATCTAAAACTTCTAACAACTAGGCTGATTCAAAAGTGGGACAGACTCTCTTATCAGCCACAGACACATAATTGGCATAATGGATGGAGTGCTAGACTTCAAGTTCAAAGTCCTGAATTTTGTAAGACACTTACTATCTACGTGACCCTGGGCAAATCGCTTAACTTCTTAGCCTTAGCTTCTTAATTTGTAAAATGGGTATAACAGCACCTGCCTCATAGGATTGTGAGGATCAAATGAGGTGATATCTGTAAAGCACTCTGCAAACCTTAAATAAATTATTGTGATTATGTTCTACTCTTATGGGAAGTCTTTAAGTGAAGGATGTTATACAAGGATATTCCTGTATAGGTTGAACAAAATGATCTCTGAGATCCCTTCCAAATAAGATTATGTGATTTTCTTAAAGACTTAGAGTTCATCATTTAGTAAAAGCTTGAATTTTTAGTTTTAAAAAAATCACCACTTTACATTTGTATGATACTGAGAACTTTTTCAAGGTGCCTTCATATTGTCATTTTATCCTTCAAACAACTTTGTGAGATAGAAAAATAAGTAAGTACCTCTGTTTTGTAATAATAGCTTATCTTCATGTAACACTTTATTTTTGAAATACTTTCTTTAGAACTAAAAAAAATTAGGGACAATTACACAGATCCAAGATAAAATACAAATATGCTGATTTCGAGCCCAGTGTTCTTTCTGCTAGTCATGCTGACTTATAAATATTTTTGCATTGCTATAGTGAAAACCCAGTTATCTGAATAACATAAAAGCAACATGGTATAGTGGAAACAATAACGAATTTGGAGTTATGAGATTGGTTTCAGTTCCTGGTTCCATCATTTACTGGTTTTGTGACCTTGAGAAGCCCTGTAACTTTATATACTCAGTTATTTCATATGTAGGATAAGGATAAAAATCTGAATACCAGGGCTGTTTAAGTCAGGTCAAATCAACAGGGTTTTTTTTTGTTTTGTTTTGTTTTTTTGGCAGTTGGGGTTAAGTGACTTGCCCAGGGTCCAGTAAGTGTCAAGTGTTTGGTCTGAGGCTGGATTTGAACTCAGGTCCTCCTGACTTCAGGGCTGGTGCTCTATCCACTGTGCCACCTAGCTGCCCTAACAGTTATTTTTAAAATATTCCAGATACTACCCTAAGTATTGGGATTACAAATTCAAGCAAAAAGGAAGCAAATCTCTGCCCTCAAGGATCTTACATTCTAATGGGAAAACATACATAAAAAGGGAACCAAAAATGGAGGAGGGCATGGAAAAGGTACCCAGGTGGTGGCTGGATGGAAAATCCTGGAGAGTCAGGAGTGGAAAATTGGAGAGAAATAAAGGAGTGACCGTGACTTACTTGGACATTACATTAAGACTAGAGCTAGGGGCTAGGTCCCAACTATATTAATCTTTGTGTAAGGACCAGTCTTCTTAAACCTAGTCACTTGGTTTTGCAGCTGCCTTCTTATCTTATTGTACCAAAAGATTAATTTCCCCTTTATTCACTTTCCTCACCGGTTAGTCTTAGAATCAGAAGACCTGTTTTCCAGTGTTAGTTCCACAACCTACTGTGTGACAATGGAAAAGTCATTTATTGATAAACTGTTTAAGTTTCTGCATTTGTAAATAATGATAATGGTACTTGTACTATCTCCCTCAGAGTGTTCTTATAAGGAAAACACTTTGTAAACTTTCATTAAGGCATTATAGAAATATGAGCTATCATTCCTTTCTGTTGCCTCATGAGATCTTTGCTTTCTCTATTGTAATTTTACTTCTCCTGTTCAAGCCCAATACTCCTTGTCATTCAACTGTCTGTTTAAAGGAGAAATGAGAAAGAGACTGAGGAGGTAATAATTTTTCCAGACTAACTCTTCCAGTGCCAGAACATGAGCCTGAACCTGAAATCTCAGAATCTCTGCCTCTTAGAAGGATCTTCAGAAACCTGCCTAGCCAAGCATCCCAGCTGCAAAACACCCAAAGTAGTTGTGGTCTGATTTGATGATTTCCCCCTATATACTTTGCAAATATCTCCTTAGCTATATGATACAGTGCCTAAAATTCTGCTAGAGTCATTCATTATCAATCATACTAATTTGTTAAATCCTGAATGAAAATTTTCTTTTTGAACAACTAATAAATCAGTGTGAACCTGAATTAAAGCAATATTTCATTTAAGTGTTTTTTGTTTCGGAAATAGCAGTAGCTAAAGGAAACCACTCTCTTGTATAAAACTGTGCCCCTCCCTCCCCAAATTTAATTGGTACAGAATGTTACAAAATATCCAGGAAAAAAAACTGACAAAAATTTTCTAGCTCAGTACCTGGCTCTTCTCAGGTACTTGACTGGTTTTTCTCATTATTTTACTTTGGGACTCAGATGCTACTTTTGGCAAAAAGAAAAACTCCTACAAATTTCTGGCTCAAACTTGTGGGTTTTGTGCTTCCTGTTAACTGTGGTTAATTGAGAGTTAACTTGAGTAGTGTTTGATTAGAAGATAGTATTCAGTACCCGATTGAAGATTGCATACCTTAAGTACTCATTATTACACTAACCATTTGACTTTTGAGCAGGTAGATGCCAAATTATAGGTGTTTTATTTCTTTGTCTAATATATTTAACTTGAACTAAATTTCATTTGGCTGTTATCCCATCAGGTTGCCAGAGTTCTAAAGAATTGTTAAAATTGTAGCATTAAGAGACAGCAGCAATTAGAGCTAAAATTTTATCTCTGGTTTCTTTTGAAATAATTCAACTTTAATAATTAAATTTTCAGCCTATGCTATAAACTGCATGAAAATGGAAGCTTTTTTTATGTCAAATTGTTCTCCAGTATAATAGTTTTCAGATACATTGTAATTAGAATACTTTAAACTTGTGTCTGAATCTCAGAAATACTCATGAGGGAAGGGAACACAGAAAAGTATAAAAATAATCATAGTATAGTAAGAATACTTACAGTCAGGTCTCATTATTACTTCTTTTGCTCAGTTTGCTTTTGCTATCGAACATCTATTTTAAACTTTCAGTATCAGTTATATCTACTTATATAAATTAGCAATTTAATTTGTACAATGCTCTTTATATTTTTAAATCTTTTTAAATGATTAGGTTTTTCCTAAGGACTTTAAATATTTATTTTATTTAGTTATTCAGCTTTACTGAGGAATAAAACATAACTATTTAGTCTTTATTCTTTGAAGAGATTGGCTCACATTTGTGTTTCCCAGAGTCTGTTTTGTAAGAAGGATTTATGAGGATTCTGGCCTCATGTTCTTTGTCCTTTTTTATGACCCTTATAGCATGAAAGTCTAAAGGAGGTGAAAGCTGTTGCCTGCCACTTCAAAGAGGCTGCAACTTCAATATTTGAGTTTCTTTTTTGGGGGGATGGAGGTCTAAGAGGCTGTAGTTGCAGTATGTGGGTTTCTCTGGGGGAGGGAATTGGGGGTCTTTAAGATATTTCAAAGCATTACCAGATACCTGCCCTTTCTCATCCTGGAGATTTTTCTGGAGTTGCATGCAGTGGTAGCTTGTTACTATAAGAGGCATAGTGAGAGTTTTTGCTAACCCTACAATTTTGGGGGGATAGAGAAAGAAGACGAATAGCATCATACTGTTTACGTCCTCAGTTTGAGAAGTGTAGCGCTTGAGTTTCTTTAGTTAATGGTGAACATTTGTCTCAAGAATGCTAATTTAAGGATAATGTCTCTGTGTTACATCAGCAGGTACTCACTTATCTCCTTATGGAACATTCAGGAGCAACTTTCTGGAGATTCCAGACCATAACACTATATTAACTACAAACCTTGGATACCAAGTATAGAGATTACTGTTAAAAAATAATTATTTACATCTCTTCCTTAATTAGCTTTCTGTTAATATTTCCCAAAATTCTCTTACAGCTGGTCAAGTTATAACCAATGCATTTTATGTATTATGATTTATTCAGAAAGATTTATTCTTAAGGATCTTTACAGTGGGCTAATGTATAGATCAAGAATTGCTGAAGTAGAGCAGAATTAAAAATTATATAATATTAAAGTAATAACTTTGTTTATCTTGTTTTTAAACTAGATGCAGCAGCTATTTTATGAGAACTATGAACAGAACAAAAAGGGTTACATCCGAGATCTGCACAACAGCAAAATCCACCGAGCTATAACTTTACATCCCAACAAAAACCCTCCTTACCAATATAGACTGCATAGCTACATGTTGAGTCGCAAAATAGCTGAATTGCGTCACCGAACCATACAGCTCCACAGAGAAATTGTTCTGATGAGCAAATACAGTAACACAGAGATTCACAAAGAAGATCTCCAGTTGGGAATTCCACCTTCTTTTATGAGGTTCCAGCCACGCCAGCGTGAGGAGATTTTAGAATGGGAGTTTCTTACTGGAAAATATTTGTATTCAGCTACTGATGGTCAGCCCCCCAGGAGAGGAATGGACTCTTCTCAGAGAGAAGCTTTGGAAGACATTGTTATGCAAGTCATGGAAATGATCAATGCAAATGCTAAGACCAGGGGGCGAATTATTGATTTCAAGGAAATACAGTATGGTTATCGTAGAGTCAATCCTATGTATGGGGCTGAATACATTCTCGACCTTCTACTCCTATACAAAAAACATAAAGGGAAGAAAATGACTGTTCCTGTGAGAAGGCATGCCTACTTGCAGCAGACCTTCAGCAAGATCCAGTTTATGGAGCATGAAGAAATGGATGCCAAAGAATTGGCCAACAAAATTAACCAGGAATCTGGATCCTTATCTTTTCTCTCAAATTCCCTGAAGATGTTTGTTCCTTTTCAGCTTCCTGGATCAAAAAATGAAAACAAAGAACCCAAAGATACAAAGATAAATATCTTGATCCCTTTGTCTGGACGATTTGACATGTTTGTGAGATTTATGGGGAATTTTGAAAAGACATGTCTCATTCCAAATCAAAGTGTCAAGCTTGTTGTCTTACTTTTCAATTCTGACTCTAACCCTGACAAAGCAAAACAAGTAGAATTGATGAGAGATTATCGTGTTAAATATCCTAAAGCTGATATGCAGATTTTGCCAGTTTCTGGAGAATTCTCAAGAGCTCTGGCACTTGAAGTTGGATCTTCTCAGTTTAATAATGAATCTTTGCTGTTCTTCTGTGATGTTGACCTGGTGTTTACTACAGAATTCCTACAACGATGTCGAGCAAATACGGTTTTGGGCCAACAAATATATTTTCCAATCATCTTCAGCCAGTATGATCCAAAGATTGTTTATAGTGGGACAGTTCCCAGTGACAACCATTTTGCCTTCACTCAGAAAACTGGCTTCTGGAGAAACTATGGGTTTGGCATTACTTGTATTTATAAGGGAGATCTTGTTAGAGTAGGTGGCTTTGATGTTTCTATTCAAGGTTGGGGACTTGAGGATGTGGACCTTTTCAACAAAGTGGTTCAAGCTGGTTTGAAGACTTTTAGAAGCCAAGAAGTTGGAGTAGTCCATGTTCACCATCCTGTCTTTTGTGATCCTAATCTTGATCCCAAACAGTACAAAATGTGCTTAGGGTCTAAAGCATCAACGTATGGATCTACACAGCAGTTGGCTGAATTATGGCTAGAAAAAAATGACCCAAATTATGGGAAAAGCAGCAATAATAATGGCTCAGTGAGGACAGCCTGATGTCCAGCTCTGCTGGATAACTCTTTTTTTAATTATCTAATTTATTTTTAAAAGTTTTAATATGATAGGTCATTTTTGAAGTCCACACAAGGATATATTTTAGAAGTGATTTTCTTACAAAGAACTCCTTAGAGACTGAGCTTTTTGAACAAAAATGTGATCAATATTTGCCTTTGAACACATCTTGTTGAACATTATGTAGCAATCCTGCATAATTGTGACTTGAAATAGAACTATGATGAACAAAAAATCTTTTTTTTAACCTTTTCATTCCAGACTTCTTTGCTATGATTCTATAGTAGAGAACATGAACATTAATGCAAAGTATTATTGTAACAAAACACTGTACCTTTGGTAAATGTTCTGTTGTGACTGTTAACATTGCACAGATTCTACCTTTTTTCTTTTTCAAAAAGATTTTTATTTTTTAAAAAAGCCATTACATGTTCAAGTTTATAAAATAAGGAAATATGACGGTAGTTGTGTCATTATCTTCAAAATTACTTTCAAAGGTTATTTCACCCAAATTATAATTTTGTTGTGATTATGTAACTTTTGGGGAAGGGGAAGTGGGAAAAGCACAATATGTTATGTGGTTAATCATAGCAATTTGTTTGGCATTAAGTCCTAAATGGATTTGAATCATATTCCAAGGGGAATTTAGTATTTCTCCTTTCCTGGTCCTTTAAAGCTGAAAGGCAATATGTTAATATTTAGTCTGGCAATGCAGAATTATTGTTGCAAATCTAAAGTATGTAAGTAAACTTTAAAAAAAAATTCCCTCCCTAATGAGGACATTGGGGGAAAATATACAGTGTTCTGTATTTCTAACTGCATTCACTTTATCCCATTTGTGTTATGTTGAAAATGGTTATTTCATTCTTTGAAAACTGCTTTATTTTTCTGTATCTGATATACCTTTTAATTTATTTAATAACCATGGCATAGATTCCTGTCCTGTTTTTGAATGCCTGTTAGTTATTAATATTTGTGTGTATTAGGAATTTAAAAAAATCATTGTTAGTGTATGTCTTCTTTGCAGTAAACTGATCTCCAAAGAGTTCTTTTTGAAAAGTTTTTTTTTTCCCTCCCACCTATAATTTGTAGTCTTTTCATTTTACAAATTAAGTGATTTTGGACATTTTTGGTGCTCATACATTAAAGGAAAACAAGTCAAATGGATTTGTATATGATTGCATCCTAAAACTTAAATTTGTTTTAAAATTACAGGTTGAATGTGCCTTAATGAAAGGTCTTTTTTCATTTAGAGTTCAGACTGATAGAATTGCCATTTTAATACATCATTTGAGACCTACCTGCCTATGTGTAAATAGCTGGTTGCTCAGATGGAAAAATAAACTAGTGAATGATATTTTTTTATTTTACTTTTTAGCACCATTTAGTCTCATTATTCCTAGTTTAAATGAAGAATGTTGTTACATTTGGAGAGGAGGAGGGATAGCATACTTATTTTCAAGACTGACCAATGATAAAATGGTTCTTTGAGCTATAGTTTTTCTGTGAAACTAATTTATAAGTACTTATCCATGCATTTATTCATGGAATGAACTCTCCCTTTGTCTCTTCCTCATACTATCTAGTTAACTCTGTGTTCTGAGAGTTTTAGGATAGAGCTGTAGGATAAATTACATATTGTTGGCATATATAATCCAATAATAAAATAACATACACATGAGACCTTTGGTGCCAGGGCTCAGTAAACTTTTGTGGTAGAGTATTAAACTCCCAAAATAGGTATTTATAGCATAATTACTGTCAAGTCCCAAGATAATGATATTGTACTTTCAATGGGAATTGCTGTAATTCAATGTAATTGACAGTCTTTTTTATGGCAAATTTTAGCCTTTCCAGGAGAAAGAACAGATTAAAAAAGCCCTTAATGAATAAAAAGAACTGCTTATTGTTATTCATTCTGACAAAGTAGTTTAATTCCTCTCTTCCCTTCCTCTTCATAATAAATTGTAGAACTTCAAGGAAATGAGATATTTTTTGGTAGGGTAACTTTATTTTGTTCTTTTTAAAATTGATTAATAATTTGTGATATTAAATTTTGCCAATCTAGGTAAGGATTCAGTCCTGTTTACCTTGATAACTTGTGTTTGAGGTTGCTAAAAATTTAGTCTTCCATAAGTGAAAATTACAAGATAAAATTATTCTCATATAAATTAAGTTAAAGTTTACTTCTCTTGCATACATGGTTCTAAAGGTAGAACTTTAACATTAATTATAGAATCAGTTAATTTGGGAAAGATATAACTGAGTCTTGTTCCCTGTGACCTCTAGAAATTGTTTCCTCTCGAAGTGGTTTCAAACTCAAATTGAAACAGGGCCACTAACCCCTCTGCAGGCTATATATTGACTTAGAAAACCACATAATAACATTACCTATATTCTATTGTGTTTTCATTTATTTTGTTAAATATTTCCCAATTACATTTCAGTCTGATTCAGCAGCTGGGGGGTGGTGCTTGACACTTCTGAGCTAAGGACTTGCTCTTATGTTATCCTTATCAAACACAAGAATTAGTGCTTTCTAATTTCACTGCCTCCCACGGTAGATTAGAATCCTTACAGAGGCCCCTCACCAGGACCTGAGGCTTTCTAAAACTCCTTAGCCATAGTTAATCTCAGGCAATGTGGTTTTTCTCTTTCCAATCTTGACCATGGTTCACCAACATCTCTGCCATAGGGTAGCATAGGAGGCCCTTACTTAGCACATCGGCCCTAAACCACTGCTCAGGTAGCTACCATAATGGGCTCCTTGTCATATTCAACTCCACAAAACTGATTTAGGAGGGAACTAGGAGGGCTTTTCTGAGCTTCAGGTCGCAAGCTGTGCCCTGTCACTTTCCCTTGTGGCCTGACCAGCCCATTAAATAATCCTTTTAGAGAAAGTTAAGCAGTGATTCCTTTGAAGTGGTTTATGTGACGTTCTGTCTGGAATTGGGCATGGAATGAATTTCCCAAGTGGCACAATGGCAATGTCCAATACTGCATTGAGAGTAAGGAGATTATGACCTTAAGCTAGTCCCTTCCCCTCTGTTCTTTTCATTTTCCTCATCTGTTAAATGAAAGGATTAGATTTGACAACTATCTTTCTGAGCCTTAAGCTCCTGTGTTACTATGGATATGTGGTAGGATGTCTAGTAGTACCATTATTGCAAAATAGAAAATGGAATCATATACTTTGTAGTAAGCAAATTCCAGGCAGACATTAGTAATCTATTATTTCCTGTGGAAGTGATCCCTTTTCAAGTAATTGAGTTTTTTCTCTTTTGCAGAGGGCCAAGAACAACACTTAAACTCAGATCAAGACTTAGTCACCCTAAATCTTAGATGTCTAAATGTCGTTGAAAATGTCTAGTTATCCTCCCATCTAACTATGAAAGCAGACAGTGGACCTGTGGAAAATATGTTCCTTTACCTTAGTGTTTTAGAGAATAGTAACTGAAAAAAAGAGTCAGTGTCCAGGAGAAAAGATAGTGAAACATACCTCTCTCCAGACCTGTGCCTTAGGAAACAACTTTTTGAATGGCTTGTAGGGTGTTCAAGGGTGTTAGAAAGTCCAGAGATGGGAAAAGGAGAGAAGAGAAAAATTGCTAAGTGTGCCTTGGGGCAGTATAAAATTTAAAACTAAGAAAAAATTTAGATTGAAATAATAAAAATCTTTTCTTTCCCTGGATTAACCAAATGTCTCATTTATCAGCCAAACTGACAAATTCTTTTTCAAATATGTAAGCAAAGTCTATCTTAAGCCTCCTTCCTGCCCAGCCTTCTTAATCACACCTCAACCAAACCTTCCAAACCACATGGCCAAGACAGGACAATAATGCACAGAAATGCTATTTCTCTCCGAATTGCAGATAAGGAAGTAGGGATATTTGTAGTAAAGTATCTTCATAAATAGGATGTTTCTTGAATTCTGTACCCCTAATTTTATTGTGATATTTATCTGATCTGATCTGATCCTTTTTTTTCTCATATTACTATACACATTCACATATATGATGTGTGATGCACATCATTTTCCCCCTTAATCTTGCATTCTTAATGAGATTATTTGGTCTTTTTCCTCTATGCATCCAACCCTTTTTAATCCCCTTGAATATTATGTATGTGTCTAGTAAAGGAAATGGGTTTTAAGAGTCTTTTACCTTCTCATCAGAAAAAACTATTTCTGCTAAAGATGTTTTTGAGGACTGAACTGATGTTTCCAAACTTATCCCTGAAATTTGGATCCCATCACTTATGAAACAAGGATTCCATCCACAAGGGAAATTGGAAGACCAAAGCCCTGAGTCTTATTGGTACTGCCTTTTCACAAGGCTGACTGCTAGTGGCTAGATGTCATGATGTTGAAAATTTATGCAGATTCAGAACTACTACTAAGATGCCCTTTTATACCTTTTTTTTTTTTTTTGGCCTAACTGGAAATGTAATGCATTAACTTCATTAAATATAGTCCTGGGGAATTAAACTATATTACTGTTATAAATCGATAACTGGCATCACGGATTGGTAAAGTAGGTTATGTGCTAAAATTCTGGAAGTTGCTTTATGTGATAACACAAAGTGGATTGTATTTTCTTTACTCTAAGAAATTACCTGCTTTGCTTTCCTCAGTTTTTAGTTGCCCACAGAAAAAAATTTCCCTTTTGCTGGAGTTAAAAATGTTGGTTAAACAAAATCTACTTAGTCTGAAATATTTTTTTTATTGACGTGACCTCACATTGCTATGTAGTAAAATAGATTAAATCAGTTAAATCATTTTGCATGATTAGCAGTAGAAAAGTGCTTCACTGTGTGGCCACTCTGTTAATGGCTTAATTTTTTGAAAGGATTGTTTGATATTTGTTGGGGGTAAGGGTGGGTGGGATTTTTCATTATCTGTATGATAAATGAAAATACACATTCAAAGCAAATTAGTGGCTTGCATGTAATTAATGCAATAAAACAATATAAATATCTGTTATTTGGTATTAAAAGTATTACATTAAATTGAAAGTTAATTATTGCAATTGTCAGGTTCATCATTTCCTAACTTAATTCCCATAATTTTTTGTTTTAATATTTTAGCTATTCCTCCTTTAAAATGGTGTGTTAATGTTGGCCCCTTTTTTGTTCCAAACCTGTGATTTTATCTGTGTAGAAACTCCCTGCACCAATGCAGATGGCCAGCTTTTTGTAACTTAAGTCTTAAGAGAGTTGCCTGGAAGCACTGAGAGGTTGTGACCTCCCATGGTCACATACTGTCTCAAAGACAGTACCCAGGTCTTACTCTAAAATCTGTCGTCTTAGATCACTATTCCATGTTGCCTCTCACACACCATTTATTATTCCTAACTTATTTAAATAAGTAAATGTGAAAGTTGAACACATTATTTAGTACTAAAAATTTGTCAAACTCTGGAATCTATTTAAAATGGAATTAATTTATCTTGGATACATTTGTCTGGTAAGTAGTTGATCATCTAAAAATTAAATTTGGCTCATTTGTGGATGGTTCATAGCAAATTAACCTTCGGTACTGAGACTGGTTGTATATTGTAAACTGAACTGTTGCTTCATACAAATTTACTTTAGGGAAGATCATTTTTAGCTAAATCTAGAGTGATTCCAAAATTCATGAACTCTGAACCATGGTTGGGTCTTTCTTGGTTGATATTTATTTCTTGGTGACAAGAGTCCACTTCTTAAGGCAAAACCAAAAGCTCATTAAAAAATCTCAGTGATGCCCTGAAACACCTATAACACGTCAGTCTAGAGCTAAGAGTTAATCTCTTCTGTCAGTTCGCAAAAGAGTAAACACATTACTGTTTTGAGGACAACATAGAGCCTTTATCCTAAATCCCAAAATTAATGGTGGGGTGGAGAAAATTTGACATTTGGTAATTTCTTTTGTCAGGTTGAATCCTCTAATATTTAACTTGATTGCACATGACAATTTATGTTCCAGATATTTTAGTGATACATTTTCTGTTCGACAGACACAGAGTTCCACAGAACTTAGGTAAATGCTTCAAGTAAATAGATGAGAAT